CAATAATAGTAACAACAATAAGAATAATCAATAATAATGGTAATAGTAATAATAATAATAGTGATAATAGTGGTACTAATAATTATTAATAATAACAACAATAATAATAGTAATAATGGCAGTGATGGTAATAATGCTAATAACAGTAATAATGAATAATAAAGAATAGTGAAAATAATAAATTTCCTTTTCAATGGTATATAATTTTAGTTTCATCATTTTGTGTTGTTTGATAAAAAAAATATTTCCATATTTGTTTATTTTTATTAGCAAACTTTATTTTTCCATTATATTTCAAGTTGCGAAAATTTAAACACTAATAGTAGAAAAAAAAAGGAAAAAGAAACTTTTGATAAACGAATCATTGAAAAGCATAAGTAATCGTTAATTTTACTTGCATATAATCTCATACATGGCAGCATTTTTTCATTTTTTAATTCACTCTACAATGTTCATAATTTCTCGCTCTCGAATGATACGTGCTCAGTTCTTTCTTCATTTTTCTTTCCGATAATTTACAATGAGTGGAGCAGTTTGTTTGTTTGTTTTTTTTTTTTTGTTATTTTACTGCAATAACAACGTCATTTCTTGATTTGTGCTGTTTTGAATTTAAGTAATATATATTGATAGGACGACATGTATTCTTCATTTTAATCAAATGACGAAATAAATATTTTTGCTAAAAATTTTATTTACCTTTTCCTCATTTTGTTCGTTGTTTTCATTTTCGACATCAAGTATTATTTCAATGCATACAACACAACTATTGGAATGTTGTCCACGAAATTCGCATATCGATGAATTTGTCGATAGTGCTATAAGTGTCAGTAAACGATCAAATGCTTCGAGACAATTTAACTCTGATAGCAATATTCGTCAACGAATCAATCCAAAGAATGATAATACCGAAACAAATCTGATGCAATCATTATTATCAGTTGATTCAACAACTATAAATGATGATATTTCCGTATTGCCAACTGATCAATCGGACAGTATTCAATTGCGGCTACAAAGGAATTTAAGAAATTTAAAACAATCAAAATTTTTTGAAATATTTTATCGATGGTGTTGCTATGGTACCTACTTACTATGGTTTACTATTGGTATTTTGGCAATTCGAAAAACTCTAAATGCTACAACAGCTGTACGATATGTTAAAGAACATAGTCATACCGTATCAGAAGAAGCTATTGCTAGTTCTAGTACTTTTCAAAAATTATTATGGTCATTGGATCATGAATTTCAAAAACCACCAGCTATTTTCCTCCTCAATCAACATGCTCTCAATATGACTTTTAATTTTTTATGTAATACGCGTGATATGAATGGTGTTCATGAAAGGTTAGCAATTTTTCATTTATTTCTTCTTCTGTCATAAATGATTACTGACTAATTAGTCAATTTCATCAATCATTCTCTTCTTCCAAATTTAATCGATATTGTCATCTTTAAAAAATTTTTCCATCCATCAATTTCTTTTCATATAAATATTTAAACTTTTTATTCAGT